TGGTCTTGCCGGGTTATTTATTACTTTGACACTCCTGCATTTGGGAGAAGGCATCAATCTTTTAATCACATCAATCTTTTAGTCGTGTCACAAATCATCTGATTGGAACCTTCTTTTTGTATGGTTTCGAGTTGAGTAATAAAAAGAGTTTATATAATACTTATTTTAAATACTATTAGTGGATTCTCTAACCTTAATATTTTTTTTATCATTATTTAATTTTCACATTAATCTTACATCTCTAAGTCCTCTTTAACTTATTATTATTACCATTATATAGTTAACCTCCCTATGGTTTGATCCCAATCTTGTCGAATTATTTATTATTTCGACACTTCTACATTTGGGAGAAGATATCAATCTTTTGGTCATGTCAAACACATTTTAAGTAGCCAAACAAGACCTTATTTCTTATAGAGAAATATGGTGGGTCAAACACGACCTTATATCTGGGTTGGGCTTGGCCTAACAATATGGGTTGGGCCTAAGGCCTAAGCCTTTATGTATAGCTTGGGCTCAGACTCAACCTGATTTGTTAGGGCAATAAACGACCTAACATGTCTTTTTTTAATGAGTTGTAATATTTTTTTAAACCATGCAAAACATCATATAATGAACCAATAAGAGAAATAAAAAAATTACCTCAACGAGAGGTGGTTGTTAACCATCTAATGGTGGTGTCTTCAAGGTTATTCGTGGTTCACAATGGTCACTAAAAACTTCAAGGTTATTCGTGGTTCACAATGGTCGCTAGAGGAGGAGAAAGGAGGCTAGTTAGGTAGTTGGGGAAAAAAACAATGGTTTTTGGTTGATTCCCCCCTCTCTTCTCTCTTAATTTTCTCTTTTTTTATTATACAAAATTCACCTTTATTTATAGGAGATGAAAAGGAGGCATTTGGTCTTTACTGAGTATGAATCTTAACTCTTGATTCAATAAAAAGGACCTCAACCACTAGTCAAAAGTCACCATCACCAATTGTAAAGGATGGTTAAGTCAGTCTCTTTAGGACAACTTTGTAGTGAGTTCTAGGCCACCAAGGGACTTTTTTTTTTTTACTTAGGTTTGGGTGCAATGGCAGGTCATGAGGATAGTGACACGACTAAAAGATTGATATCTTCTTCCAAGTGTAGGAATGTCAAAGTAATAAATAACCTAGCAAGATCGGTATCGAATCATATGGAAGTTAATTGTATAAATTATAAACAACAATAACACAGCAACAATAACAATAGTAATAATAAAAAAAAAAAATTGATGAGAACTTTGAGATAGAAAATCAATGTGAGGATTAAATAATGATAAAAATAAATGTTAAGGTTAGAGGATCCACTAGACAAAACTAATTTTAATAATTTTAATAAATAAAATCATTAAACAAAACTAGATTAATGGATTATGTTTATAGATCAAGTTTCATCTTTAGTTATCTTTAATAACTTTTTTTTTATTTTTTTATTGGATGATTTTAATTAATTTAATTAAATATATGTATAAAATTTTTAATTTACTTATAGGTTTTGATACATAAAAAAACATATTGTAAAAGTTTATATATTTATTTAAAATAAAATTTTTAATTTACTGATAGGTTTTGATACATAAAAAAACATATTGTAAAAGTTTATATATTTATTTATTTTTTAATCTAACACGCAACAAAACAAATCAAATACCTAGTCATCATCCTATTTAATGAAAAGGGATTGATATTTTAGATTTTTAAAATTCACAAGGGCCACTCTTAATTTAGTACCGAGACACACCAACCTCAGGTATGGGCTACATGCCTTGTGTTTCTAAAAAACGTTGTAAGACTGATTACCGAGGATTCTGGCAGCCATCTTTTCTCTTTTCTCTTTTCTCTTTTTATTATTTATTGGTTAAATGTGTCTATGTATTAGGCGGAGTTATCCTTTTATATTTCATAAATAAATAAATAAATAAAATTTAGAAGAGTTATATAGTAATGGCAGCTGTTTCATATAATTATTAAAGAAAATAATTGTTTCCTTTTATATTTATAAATAGATTCATATAATTATTAAAGAAAATAATTGTTTTCTTTTATATTTATATATAAATATAGGCATAATTTTTAATAAAAATAAATATAATTGTTTTTTAATCTGATTTTTTAAATTAACTTGATAAAATTTATAAAAGCTTTTGTATTGTAAAATATTCTTTTAATTCTAATAATCAAAATAACACTAAAATAATTGATCTTAAAACAAGAAAGTAAATTCTTAAATAACCGTAACTTCTTTCTATACTTGAGATTAGTGTATTTATACTAACTCAACTCCGTATTCTACATAAATTGGACATGATACTACAACCGTAAGGATCAAATCCGTATTCTACATAAATTGGACATGATACCACAACCGGAAGGATCAAATTGGCATGAAGTGTGGAACGAAAGCAGTTTCGCTGCTGGCTTCATTCCATTCAAGCTCATCCCACCATTCCTTGTTTCCATATACAGTTGGTAGAGTTGAGGTGTTGTGAGTTTTGATCGATAGCTGTTTCAGGTTAGGGCAATCAATTACTGCAATGCTCTCCAAGGAAGGAAAAGCGAGTTCCCATGGAGTAATACTCCTTAGTTTTGGCAGGTCGCGGAAAGACAGAGTTCGAAGGATTCGAAATGCCTTTGAATCTTCTCTTGGTATCCCACTCCTGCTGACAACTTCCTCCATTTCTTCGCAGTACATTAAGTAAATCACCTCTAGCTTTGGAAGTTGTAAAACCCAGGAAACATTCCTCAACTTGCGGCAGTGCCAGATATTTATAGATTGAAGATTCTGCAGACATTCCCGAGTCACCGGATTCTTCCACACTGTTTCCAAGTTGGGAAGGCCATGTAACGCCACAACCTCCAGGCTGGGCAACCATTTTTTACCAGCCTCTTTATCAACTTGCAAGTACTGCAGGTCATAACAGTTATTGATGCTAAGCCTTCTCAACCTTTCGCCGAAACTGGAATTCAATGACAGTTGCAAGTAAAATAAGCCATCACATTGTTTAATGTAAAGATACTGTATTACTTTTAGTAAGCCGCTGAAACTATAGAGCCTCTTCAGGGTATTCAATTCATTAATGGTGATACCAAGTGTGGTAAGATGCTTCAAGGATTGCAAGTCTTCAAATCCAACTTCATTATCCTGCTGTTCCCAAACTCCATAGCTGTAATAAACATTCAAAATTCGTAATTGCAGAAGTCCTGATATAGCTTCTTGTGGAATTATTCTAAGAGAATGTGTTCGCTGCAGATCCAAATGCTGCAGCTTGGCCAAATCTCCAAGCTCTCTAGGCAATGAAGTTATCTTTGTCCCTGACAAATCAAGATGCCGCAACTCAACTAACTCATTGATGGATACTGGAATCTCTCTAAGACTGGTAAACGACAAATCCAGGACTCTTAAAGCAGGCATAAAGTGGAAAAAGGTATTTGGAATCCTGTTCAAACCACTGTTCCATTGGAGCAACAAGGTTGACAATCTGGGGCACTCAGGAATCTCTGCTAGTGTCGTTATTCCATTATCAAACAGCGAAATTCGCAGTGAATGTTTCCAATGATCAGCTCTGGGTGCTTCAGTCAGCCCCGTACTGGCCTTCACCAGAAACTGATTGTTCGATCCACATTTTGAAGCTATCCACAAGGCAAAACTCCTGACTACATCATGCATCTTCACTTGAGTTTTCTCTTCGCCGGTTTCAAGCAGGCATGCAACTTTAAGAGAACCAATTAGAGCATGTCCCTGATTATACACATAACTAGCATGGAAACTGCCTAGAAATCCTTCCCCAATCCAGTACTTTATAGGCAGCTCTTTCTCGATAGAGTAGCCTTCAGGGAACAGAGAACAGTATAAGAAGCATGACCTCAGCGCATCAGTCTCCAGATTGTCATAGCTGAACATTAGAAGAGAAAACACATCTTCCATGCCTCGAAGTTCAGAAGGAGATCTGTTCAATACCTCAATTGCATACTTCCATTCCTCTTCAGTCTCTTTATTGGCCATGGCTTTTCCAATTGTTATCAAGGCAAGCGGCAAGCCTCCGCATTTTCTCACAATGGTCTCAGCATACGCCCGAATAGTTTCTGAATCAAAGATCTCCTTTTCCCCAACATTCTCGCAGAAGAGTTTCCACGAGTCTTCTTCACCCAAGAATTCAACTCTCAGCTTCTGATGAGCATTCATGCCAGTACACACATCCAATGAACGTGTTGTGAATATCACTTTGCATTTGTTCGTTTTCTCTGGAACAGGGATTCCCACATTCAGAAGATCAATTCCCTCCCAGACATCATCTAACAAAAGGAGGAACTTTTTCCTTCTCATTAGTTTATGTATTTTCAGTGCTCGTTGCTCGTGGCTTTCCGATTCTTCCCACGGCAAACCTAACCTGGCCCCAACAGCCCTTTGGATTTTATCGGCAACAAATTCTTTTGAGACCACAACCCATATTACTACATCAAAATGGTGGCGTTTGGTGAGAAATTCGTTGTTAATAGTCTTCAACAGAGTTGTCTTCCCGACTCCCCCCATTCCATAAATTCCAACTGTTCCAACTCCATCCTCTGCCAGAAATTGTCGAGCTCTTTCTAACATCATATTGAGTCCGACAGCTGGCCTACTCGGCATCTCCTCAACCGCATCAGGAATTGGGTCATCGGCGACGACATTAAAAGCTCCTTTTCCAATCAGTTCATTAGCTCTGTTTAGCAGCTTCGAAGCTTTCTTGCTGAGCTTGTATGTTGAAAAGCAAGCATTGCAGCCGACACGGCATCGTCTTCTCTGTCCAAGATCTTCAATGATGGAGCTTGATTCAGCTTCGATAACTTCAACTCTTTGTAGCCACCCTTTGACTTGGCTTGTGCAGGTTAATCCCTCCACCTCAGCTCGCTCAACCTGTCTCTTCAAGTCATCCCTTTTGTCCTTCAATTCATTTAGTGCTGTTGAGAGGGAGTCAATCCTTTGATCCACATTAACAACATAGCTCAACCTTGCAGCAACAGAAATGCACAAGCTGTGAGCCATGCCAACCAGAGGAGAAACAATATCCATAGATGAAATTCTTCTGCGAAGGAAAAAAGAAGTTGATTGAAGTTTGCCTAGAAAAGCTGTTTATCTCCTTGCTACCCACTGGATTGATGACATGAGAGGATTGCTCAATTCTTGCAATGAAAAGATGGGAGTCAGACCAGCACAAATGAATTGGAAATGGACTGATCATCAACTCATCCTCCCTCGATTAGATAATGCAAGAAGGCCGCCATTATGGAAACCGACAAGTTGACTGACTTCTTCTACATTTGCGTTGCTATTTTCCACCAGTATAAAACAAAGAAAAGTAGGTTCTATGAAAGTTCCCCACCTTTTCCTTGGATTAAAATTTGTTGACTATCTCCTTCAATGATTACTAACACCCACCCTCCCCTTTCTTCTTCCTGATTTATCATAAATCAACTCCCAATAAATATTTCAGCTTTAGATGTTCAAATTTCAAATTAAGAAAAAAAATTTATTTTATTTTGAAAAATCCCCTTGAAATTGATTCTGAGTTTATTTCATTGGTGTTTCAAATGCTATTCCAGCTTGAGGAACACGATATGGCTATGAAATTTTGAACAATCATTACTCATTTGAAAGGGTAACAATTGACTTTCATCATAAAATTTCCCTCTATGAGCAAATATTTATTTGGAGATGTTGTAAATATAATAAATTAATTATAGGATTGATTATTGTTACAAATAAAGTAAGTCAATTATAGGGTTATCAGTTATCGGTTAATTGTAAAACTGATTAACATGCATTAAATTATAGCTAGATTAATCCTAGACCTATATATATATATATATACTATACTCATGCATAAGAGATATATTATTTTTATACTCTAACAATTTTACGTGCTATCAGAGTCATATAATTCTTTTTTCTTTTAGTGTGGCCCAATTAAGTCATAATTTTTTATTTTTTTTGTTGTTAGTTGTCCTACTTTGAGTGTAGTAATAGCAAAGCGTAGAAACACAGAAGTGCAAACCATAATTTCTAATATTGTTCCTATGACAACAAAAATCACAAAGCACAAACTAAATAATACCAACCATTTGAATTGGAGCAAAACAGTACAAGTGTATCTTTATAGTATTGATAAAGATGATTACCTTATTAATGATCCACATCTGATATTGCAGCAAAGAAGGCACACTTCATAGTATTGATAAAGATGATCACCTTATTGATGATCCCGATCTGATATTGCAGTAAAGAAGGCACGGTTGAGAGATGATGCCAGAATTTTCCTACAGATTCGAAATTCTATTGATACTGAAGTGATTGGTTTAGTTGATCACTGTGAATTTGTTAAAGATCTTCTAAATTATTTGGCTTTCTTATATTCTGGCAAAGGAAATATCTCTCATATATATAATGTGTGTAAGGCGTTTTATTGCCCGGAGAAGCAGGATAGGTCTCTCACTGAATACTTTATAGATTTTAAACGGGTATACGAGGAGTTGAATTCTCTTCTTCATTTTAGTATTGATGTGAAAACTCAGCATTCTTAATGTCAACAAATGATTGTTATAAGTTTCCTTGCAAGTCTGCCACCAGAATTTGATGTTGCTCGAACATAAATTCTTTCTAGCCCGAAGATAACCACTTTTTGTGACCCCTTTACAAGAATCTTGTGTTTAAAGGGATCTCGATCTACTTTTATTGTCACTAATGCCCTTATGAGTCGTGGAACTTCAAATGAAGTTGGTCAAGGAAGTCGAGCCAGCCGTAAAAATATTGGTTTTCGAGGTAGTTAGAGTTGTGGCGACTTAGGTAGAAATGTCGAGGCAGCCGTAAAAATATTGGTTTTTGAGGCAGTTAGAGTTGTGGTGACTTAGGTAGAAATGCTGGTCATAATAAACCAGTTTGTTATTACTGTGATGAACCTAGTGATATAAGATGTACTTGTTGGGAGTTTCACGGTAAACCTCAGTAGCTAGCCCAAGTTGCTAATATTGCAACTCAAGAAATCAGCCATGTATCTATAGTGTCTTCATCGAATGATAAGTCTGTGCTTGTCTCTGTTGATGAATTTGCTCATTTCACTCAATACCAAGCCTCACTAAAGTCTAATCCTTCTATAATTGATAAGTCATGTAAACCCACTACATGTCTTATGTCATTCTCTAGCAAATAGGTCATTGATTCAGGTGCTATAGATCATATGACAGGTGACAAAGGTATTCTTTCCCCTTTTAAACCTTACAAAAATCTTTAAAATCTTCTTGGTGTTACTTTGGCTGATGGGTCAACCACTTCTGTTATTGGTTTTGGAACAATCTCTCCTACATCATCTCTTTCATTATCATCTATCTTGTGTTGCCCAACTTTTCCTTCAATTTACTCTCTGTTAATCAAATCACTAAGGCTCTCAATTGTTGTGTCTTATTTTTCTCTAACCTTTGTTTATTTCAAGATCTTATGACGGGGAAGACTATTGGTAAAGGACGTGAATCTGGTGGTCTTTGTGTGCTTGAAACTATTAACCCAAAAATGCCAAATCCAAAAATACCAAAACTTGTTACTTGTTCCAGTATAATGACACCTCTCGAACTTCACTATTGGTTGGGGCATCATTCGTTACCCATTTTAAAAAAATTCTTTCCTCATTTCCAAAAGTTATCTCATTTAAATTGCGAGTCTTGTTAATTTGCCAAACATCATCGCTCTTCATATGTACTAAGAGTTAACAAACGAGTTGCGTCCCTCATTGAGTTAATACATTTTTATGTTTGGGGTCCTTGTCTTGTACTTTCTAAGTCTGGATTTTGATATTTTATTACTTTTATTGATGATTATTCTCGTGTCACTTGGTTATACTTAATGAGAAAAAGGTTAGAATTACTCTCTATATTTAGTGCCTTCTATGCTCAACTAAAAACTCAATTTAATGTTGTGTGCATTTTACGAAGTGATAATGCAAAAGAGTATTTTTCCAAGCCTTTTAATTCTATATGTCACAAAATGAAATTCTTCATCAATCTTCATGTGTTGACACCCTACCTCAAAATAGTGTTACAGAACATAAAAATAAACATTTACTAGAAGTTGCTAGAGCCCTCCTTTTTCAAATGAATGTCCCTAAACAGTTCTGGGCAAATGCAATTTCGACTGCTTATTTTTTAATTAATCGTATGCCTTCGTCTATTTTGGCTGATGCTGCTCCTCATTCTATTTTGTTTCCTTCTCATTACTTATTTCTAGTTGAACCACAAATTTTTTTTTGTACTTGTTTTATTCATAATGTTCGGCATGAGGTGTTTAAATTAGATCTTAAGTCTCTAAAGTGTGTCTTTTTAGGGTATTCTCATCTAGAGAAAGGGTATCGATGTTGCTTTTCTAAGTTGGGTTGTTATTTGGTGTCTTCTAATAATTTGTTTTTTGAAACCATTTCATTCTTTTCCATGTCGAAAATTTATAATTGTGAGGGGGAGAATGATGATATTCTAGTGTACAATATTACCATTACTATTAACCATACTTCCTTAAATGACCCAGTTCCCACAAAACTAGTCATCACCCAAGTGTATTCTTGACGTCCTCCACCAGTTCATACATCTACAGATCCTAGTCTCAATCTTTCTATTGTTGTTCGTACAAGCAAAAGACAGTGTACTCATCATATCTTATTGTTTGCTTCTTATATACATTTGTCTCTTTTTTTGCTTTGCTTTATTGCTTCTTTAGACTTTGTCTTTGTTCCCAAAACTTTAATTGAGGCTTTGTCTCATCCTAGTTAGCGAGCTGCTATGGAAGAAAAGATGAGAGCTTTAGACGATAATGGCACCTGGAAACTCGTAGACTTACTAGCAAGAAAACAAACTATTGGTTGTAAATAGGTGTATGTTGTCAAGGTCAATCCCGATAGGTTTGTGGATCGTCTTAAATCCCATCTTGTTGTCAAATGATATGTTCAAACATATGCAGTAGATTATTCCGATACCTTTTCTCTAGTGCCTAAACTTGCAGCTATTCGTTTATTTATGTCTATTGCTGCCACTAATGATTGGCCTTTACACTAGTTAGATATTAAGAAAGCATTTCTTCACGGTGATCTGAAGGAAGAATTGTATATGGAGTAACCACCTAGGTTTGTTGCTTAGGGGGAGTCTATTAAGGTTTGTCAACTTTGAAAGTTCTTATATGGGTTAAAATAGAGTCCATGTGTTTGGTTTGGGCGATTCAGTGAGGTTATTTAAGAATTTGATATGAAGAAGAGTATGTGTGATCATTTGGTATTCTACCAACAATCTAAAGTTGACCTTATCTTGTTGGTTGTGTATGTTGATGATATTATTATCACTAATAATAACAGTAAAGACATCTCAGCTCTTAAGTCTTTCCTTCAAGCAAATTTCCAAACTAAAGTTTTGGAGATACTTAGGTATTTTTTAGATATTAAAGTTACAAAGTGTAAGAAGGTATCTTTCTATCTCAAAGAAAGTATATTCTTGATCTTTTGACAAAAACTAGAAATTTAGGTGCCAAACCTTGTAGTGCACCAATAGTCACCAACACACAACTTATAGCAAAAGATGGTGAGTCGTTTGCAGATCCTGAGATGTATCATCGATTAGTTGGCAAGTTAAATTATCTAACGATGACTTGTCTTGAAATTGCATATCCTGTTAGCATTGTGAGCCAGTTCATGTCTTCCCTGCAAACCACCCATTAGGCAGCTTTGGAACAGATTTTATGTTATCTTAAAGGAGCTCCAGAGAGTGGCATGTGGTATAGAAATCATGGTCATACTCATATAGAATGCTTCTCATATGCAGATAGGGCAGGTTCTAAAACTGATAGAAGATCTACTACGGGTTATTGTGTTTTTGTTGGGGGAAACTTAGTGTCATGGAAAAGTAAGAAGCAAAATGTAATCTCTCGTTCCAGCTGAATCAGAATACAAAGCTATGGGACAATCCACGTATGAACTTATATGGATACAACAATTACTCAGTGAGATTAGTCTAGGTAGTTCACTACCTATAAAGTTATTGTGTGACAATCAAGTTGCTATTCACA